TGCTGCGCGCCGGCTCCTCTCACCTTCTCATCTTGCGGCGCCTGGTGGGGGTCCACCCGGGGTCGCAGTCGACCCCGCCGGGAACTGTGGGGAAACTGAGGCCCCCCCAGCACAGAGTCGGGCGCCTCTTACCAGCTGGTATCCGGATGCCAGTGGGAGCTACGCTGTGTCCTTGTCCTAGAGGTTTCCCGGGCACGCCTTGTGCTGAGCAGCTTCAGGGACCCAGGCCGCAGGCGGATACCCTCGGTTCTAGGGACAATATATAGGTTGCTTGGGGATCTTCGACCATCTTCTAGGGGTCTCGATACTTCCCCCAGGTTAGGGCCTCCCCTCCGGAGCGTGTTATACCTGCCAGGCACGTCTGGGATGCTAGACATGCAATGAAACCTTTACTATCTAGTTAAAAAGGTAGACATTAGTGAAATAATTGCTCAAGTAAATGGAAAATGTCAGCACGGACAAGTATTCAGGGGAAGCCCAGAGTACAACTTGTATAAGCAAGGGACCTAACCCAGCCCTGGGGTTAGGAAAGCAGCGCCAGAGGGTTGGAGAATGGGCAGGAGTTAACTAAAGAGGAACAACAGGCGGTGGTGAGAGCCTGGCCTGGTAGGAGCATTGCAAGATAGTGTGACAGAGTGGGGAGTAAAGGTGGGTGCAAGGGAGGGAAAGCGGAAGAGATCAGGCTGCAGAGAGGTCAGCAGGGTTCAGGTCTAGTTTCCTAGAGAAACGAGGAGCCACTGACCAGTGACATCTGTGTTCCCAAAATATGTTGGAAAGAGCCAGAATGGATGTGTCCAGCTGGGCAGGAGAGTGTTTATTTCACTGGCACAACTGCTCTCTGTGCTATCAGGTGGCAGACCCACTGAGAGACAGGAGAGCTTCCTTAGAAGTGGTAAATTCCTCAACCTTGGAAGTATCTAAGTATACTAACTGGGAACTTAACTTCAGCCTCCACCAGTCTTGAGACGTTATTGACCTAATAGGCTTCCCATACCCACACCCCACCAAATATGGAGTTGGGATACAGAGGTGGGCCCAGAGTCTAGGATTTAGAGCGCCAGCACAGTCCTATATCATGAGTAGAATGCATGGAGAGCTGGCTACATGCTGTCTGCTCTTATCAGGGTCCCCAGCAGGCAAAAACCCCTACAGATGGGCATGCAGGACACTCAGAGCAGACTGGTGCTGGAGACCCAGCGCCGAGCTCAAGGTTAGCAAGGAGACATGTTACACCCAAGTGGGCAGGAAGAGTATGAACAAGGTCTTTGAAACAGAGACCAGCAATCAGAAATAGGTTCCCAGAGCTGGAGTTCCCAAGATTGAATGCAGATCACATGTCCCGAAGAGCTAGTTAAAATGTCAGATTTCCAGGTCCACCACTGACTGATTCCCTGAGTCAAGGTGTCAGGTAATGTTTTTTTTAATATGAGTATTTACCTAGTATAATTTGTTGAAAAGATATTTTTTGCATGCAGTTGCCTTGGTAACTTTGTCCAAAATCAGTTGATCACATATGTGTGAGTCTCCTTCTGGACTTTGGACTCCATTCCATTGGTCCGTGTCCATTCCTTTGCCAATAGCATATTATCTTAATTACTGTAGCTCGTAAGTTAAACTATAAAGGGTGGATAACATGTAATTCCTGTTGCTTTTGTTTCCTTTTCCAACCATTTTAAAATGTAAAAACCGGGACCAACAGATAGTGTAATGGCTATGTCGCTGGATAGCCATGTAGTCGACTGCGGTTTGAGTCCTGGGCCCGGTGTCTTAAACTCACGCCAGGCACATGTGCATGTGTGCCCAAGATCTCAAGAGGAGAATGGAGGAGAAGGGACTGCGGCGTGGCCATGCCCCCCTAGAGGGGTGATTTCTCGCTTTCTGTCTCTTTGTCTTTCTGGCAAGCGCACATGCCCTATAGCAAAAACCTCTCAAAAAAAAAAGGTGAAAACCAGGATCAGCTCAGGGGCACAGTGCTAACATGGTGCTCAGGAAAAGCTGGATCCCTATGGCAGATTACAACTTCATTTCCTTGGTGGGCCTATATGTGACAGGTACATGTGCCTATGATCCTGACTGGCTTGGAGGACTGTAGAGAGATTACAGTGTGCAAACCTGTCAAAGATACTTGTCTTTCTCTTTCTCTTTCTGTCTCTTACTCTCACAAAATAAATAAAAACTTTTAAAAAAGTAAGAATCCTTTTTAGTTTGTGAGTCTTGCAGAAAAAAGACTGCAGGCTAGCTTTGACCCATGGGCATTGTTTTCCAACTCTGTGATAGATTTATGGTAAGTCTTAAAATTAGGGTTATAGGAGTCCTTTAATTGTGTTCTTCTTTTTCAGAATTGTTTTACTCTGCTGCATTTTAGTATAAATTTTAGCATCAGTTTTTCAATTTCTAGAAAATCAAGCTGTTATTATTTTAATTGGGATTATATTGAATCTATAGGTCAAGTTGGGGATAATTAACATTTTAACGACATCAAATCTTTCAATTCATGAACATGGTATATCTCTCCATTTATTTAGGATTTATTTTCATATGTATAATACATTTATTTACTTCTTCCATGAGAGAAAGAGACAGAGAGAAGCAGAGAGACAGAGAAAGAAGCAATCCCTAAAGGGTCCCCATGCCACAATCCACCCCCAGTCTCAGTCAGTCCCATATCACAGGCATGTATACACACACTCCTCATGCCCAAGGAGATCTCATGATGCAAACCTAGGACCTTTCCTATGGAGGTCTGCTGAGTCACCACTATGCCCCAACCTGGACCTTATTGTAGTATATTTTAAAGTCCAATAAAACATTATATTTCTATGTATATTTTCCACTTTCTTTATTCATCATTCCTTATGCATCTCTTACCTTTCATATGGTTTAATTTTTCTTCTATCTGAACATTTTACATTGGAATTTCCTTTTGTATGGGAGTGCTG